ATCTCTTCGCCCGGGGTTGGAAATTCCCTCGTTCGTGGCTGTTTTACTTTTCAAGAGAATAGAGCGGAACATAAGAAGCAAGCGCGTTCGATGCGGTGTCCTTGTTTGCGCCGGGAACAACGGCAACGCTAGGAAGTGGAAAAGATGACCTCGAAAACAAATTTGTTTATATTTGTCCCATGTAGACAACACTAAGGTCCATGTAAGGCCCAAATAGGAACTAAGTAGAGAAATCAACAAGAACAAAGACAACTGCAAACAAATTCGTTAAAAAAAATAAGGTGGTAAAGAAGTTAAATCACATATATGAAAACAAAATCATCTACACGAAGGAATTATGTATATATAGACACTTATCATAATTTTGTAATTAGAGAAAATATACACATGAACGACAAGCTTGCTATGTCAGTTTCAGGGAGTTAAGAGTCATCAATAGTATGAGAGAAAATGCGCTTGTTTAAAAACATAATTTTTGAGTTATTGTTCTGGATTCTTCAAAACGTTGGGAGTAAATATATCCCAACGATCAAGCCAAAACGAATTTTCTATTTCGAGCACCAAAGGTGGCACTTTTAGTTCCCCTTATTTCGCGCTGCAAAATGACAAGTTCCAACCATTGATCTCTTCTAGTGGTTCCAACATGATTTGTATTTGTATTTGTATTTTTATTGCACTTTTATTGTACAGTGCCGCCTGGTATGCAGGTATTCAGGGAAAGGCAGTGTGCCCATACACGTTCAGTGCCCCTGACACCGACCGGGCGGCGCTATGATTCACCCCGAAAGTCGTCACAGTTTATACATGAGCGAAAGTTTTCATGCAATCGAACTAAAATAAAATTATGAGGGATTAGTAAAAATGTTGGGCGTAAAAATACCCCAGAAAGTAAAGCCACAAATTTAGCGAGCCTAAAAAACAGAGCCCAGCTCAGCTGCGGTCGATTATTTTCCACCGAAATTTTAAAATCTGCCGCACCGATGCCTTTTTTTTGGTTAGGTTGGCCGGTACACGCTCTGTACTATCTTCCGGAGCCACAAAAAACAAAAGAACCGGTTTTCCAGCGGCTCATTCAGGACTGCGGCACCGTGCGGGTACGCGCGCTTCCAAGGTCAAGCTACGATGTCCTGCACAAAAACGACGCCGCGCACTTCCGCATCGCTGCTCTCACCAGAAATACTCTTTCACAGACTGTGGAGAATGTTCGGGGCTGGCGTGACAGCGCATATTCGTGTCTGTCTTTGAAGCTACGTTTTCTGATCACGACTGGCTAACACCAAGTATGACGGCTAACTGCGGGCGTCCTCGTGGCCATCCTAAAGTCAACTGATGTCATCTGTCTGCTTGTCCGAGGCTATTTAGAACCGAATTCAGTGGGTAGGAAAGCGAAGTCTGTCGTTGTGGCCAATTTCATGAAAGGTGCACAAATGCAAGGCTCGAATATCTAAAGGTAAGACGAGCGTGTGAATAGCGCTAGCATTGGCCCACGTGCTGTTTTTTTTTTTTTTTTTTTTCCGCTGCAGTTTTATATTTTGTTGTTGTTTTTTTTCATCTACCTCCTGCAATTTTTTTTATACATTTGGCGAAAAGAGGGGGAAAGGAAGCGGCAAGACATATCCTGCACATTGAGCGGAAACGACTCCAAATTGTCAGAAAAATCAAGAGCAAACAGGAAAATGTATGTAACCATCGACTTGGGTCAAAATAAATAAATAAATAAATAAATAAATATATATATATATATATATATATATATAACGCCCATCCGCAGCTGTAAAGTAATAACATCCGTAACAAAAAGATAACACAGGTGGTATGACCGTAAGTGTGCCATTGGCCCACATCTAACGATAAAACCTTTTCGCGTTTTCACAGAATACATAGCTCATATAATAACTTCGCGTAGATAAGCAGGATCTCTAAGATCCCATGCGCCAATACAACCAAATATATCAATCAATAAATGAGATCATGATGCAGAAGAGCATCATTAATTGACAAGTTGGTGATCACGGCTTTCTTCGAAGTGTTTGAGTGGTTCACCCTTGTCCATGTCTGAAAAATAATGAGTGCAGGAACTATAATAAGAAAACATGCGTCCGTTACGACAGTTACAAGGCGTTCAGTTACAATTTAGAGCGCAGCACGCACACTCACAAACTGCTGTGCTGACGACGTTGGACTTTAACCAATTACTTCTTCGATTCGCAGAGTTCGACCAAGAGGGTGGTAGCGAAAAGAAACGCGAAAAGGGAAACGAACGAGCATCTTTCTAAATTCAGCACGCTCGAAAACCCTTTTCTTAAAATAAACCCCCAGTTAAAGAGAGACACACTTCTTCAAGAAGTGACATTACAAACACCACAAACATTCGCTCAACGGTAACAAAAAGCACCCAGAAAACGAAGCGAATACCCAGACGAAAGCCATGGGCTTAAAAAGGCCTCTCACCTCACTTGTGCTTCATTTAGAAATCCGATAATTCGCCAGCGATGGTCAAACCTCGAGGCTGAAGAAAAAGTCCTCGTCGGAAGTTTTCTCCTAAAAACACGATCACAGAAGGCGGCTGCTCCAAATCTGGTCCCCGCAAAGGCAGTGTTGCACGCGATCCTTCCCTACTTTTGGCACGCTAGAAGAAGGTAGAAACATCGCCGATTGAATATTCTACGGGAGGGCAGGGAAACTTGTTATATATTTTTTTAAAAAGGCTAGAGCGGTCGTAAACAACATTCACGACTCGCAGCAGCTCTGCGCCCTGCGCAAGCATAGCGCAAGCACAGCACATAAACACATCGAGCAGCCAGCCCGTTACCAGACGACGGCGACAACTTGCTGAAGCCGACGACAAATCGATACGCTGATGGCCGCGCCGCGGCGCCACCGTTAGCCCCCGCAGCGCCGAATCTCGTTCCATCTCGTTTCGTGAAATATTAAAATTTGAGTCAGAGTTATTTAAATAAAATTATTTTGGCTATTTATTGCAATATAAGTAAATTTGAGATACCTTGAAGCTATGTTCGAAGCTAATTAGTGTCATACTACATTCTCATTACATGTATAAAAAAAGAAAAATACGAAGTTTCGGTTTCAGTTTACATTGAAATAGACGAGGGACAGACACTCGCAGTTCTAGTTTTTATTCTTTGTGTGAACAGCAGTGTTGGGTACTTTAAGTACATTTTACTGAAACTACTACTTCAAGTAGGTTTAGGAAACTTGTAATTTTCTTGAAGTACGTTCTCTGAGTATTTACTTGTACTTTACATAAAGTTTTTTTTTTTCTTTTTTTTTTTCTGGTATTATTTTAGGGAAGTAGGATTCCCGATTTCAAAGTACGTTCCCCAAATTTGGTTTTGTTAAAATTGTATCACAAAATGATGCTTTGTCAACTCCGAAGAAAATCTGGGAGGGATATTCTGCTCTTGCCAGAAACGTGAGCAGACGAAGTGGTGGCGGCTTTCCCGTAGCTTTGTGAACTCTCGCTACTTCTCGGTCGGTCAGCGCAAGCGAGGAGGTTTCAAATATTAGGGGAGCAAAATTAATCATAATGTAGCACATGAGACTGTGGTGCGAAAAAATTATTTTCAAGTCGAAGTAAAAGACAACAGAACAGAACGTCACAATGTTCAGCAACATTCTCTTTTGCCTTTTCCCTCTATTCGAAAGTTGCTTAATTTTTCCGCTGCCCAATCTCAGGTGTCACATTATCTCACTGTTTTTTGCATTCAGGAGAGGACACTCCTCTATGAGAGGATTGCTTGCAGAAGCTACGCGGCTGACGTCATGCTCTCTCCTAGTACATTTAGCTCCCTTGAGTGCAACAATCCAGCGCAAGGGGCGCCAAATTCAGAAGAGAGACTTCTGAATTTGGCTCCATTCCTGAAAATAGCTTCTCTGTGGCCACTTGACTCTATCAAATATTCGCCGCTGTATTTGAAAACAGGCCATGCACCCCTGATTACCCCTAGGCAATGCATACCAGTTAAAAAAAAAAAAAAAAATCACCGTAGATGGGAATGAAAGGGCATCATGAAAGATTGTAATAAAATACTTGTTACTTGTAAAGTACATTGTATTTAGAGTACTTTACTTTAGGTACGTTGCACCCGGGGTACTTAATATGAGACATCACGTCTCATTTACCTTGTACTTGAAAACCCTTTTAGATGCGCTTTACCACTGTAGTGTACCCAACGCGCTCTGCTACGTGTACCTAAATCGGCTTTACTTTTGTACTTTTATAACCCTTCACGTTTTTGCTCAAAATACAAACACACACACACAAATTCACACTGACCGGTTTGACTATGCAAACAGGTTCACACCAATGTTATATATATATATATTGTTTTTTTCATTTTTTATTTTTTTTTTTTTATTTGTGTTTTGTGGGCACTTTGTGCACTTCGTTTTGTGCAGAAACCTGACAGGGCATTTATGCTCACCGAAGTTTTTACTTGTACGTGACATATGAGAACCCAACTACCGAGAACAGAATTTGCGGCTCAAAATTCGGTTTCGTTCCGCCCGAAAACCGCCGATGGAGAACTGGCTGACTTGAGTCACTCTCACTCTCTTCGCCCTGGTCACGGGCCGTTTTCCAAGGTTTAGACTGTTTAGACACGACCACCAAATATAATGAAAGTCGTAGATCATCGAAGGCACGCACACAATATTAAAAATAAAAAAGAACAATGATACTTATTTTTGGGGGCGTGTAAAAAGCCGCAAATGCGTCGTTTGGGGGGAAAAAAGTATCGCAGCGACGTGACTTCCGGTACCTCTCTCCTCCTGTGCAGTTTCGGTTCCGGTTTCGGGCAATTGTGCTTTTTGCTTTTTTTTTTTACTTTATTAAAAATATACGCGACGCTGCAGCAAAATATCGAATGAGCAGTCTTCTGACACCATATTAAATCGCTGGCAGAAAATAAAAATAATAAATTTTGGGGGGTGTCAGAGTCCCTTAAGTGTATGAAACAGACAATGCCACAAGCGGTGAATGTTTGCATTAAGCTGTTTATTAAACATATCAAACAAAACACAATAATTTCACTGCCATGATAAATGTGTGAAACCAACAACCTTCATTATTTTATTTTCACATATGTTCTTCACTGAAGAAGCTTTTGATGTGAACGCACAATCGCTGGCACCGCATTCTGCTGCTTTGCATCCCAACAAGCTGGTCAATATACAATGAGCTGCTTTCGATTCAGGGAGCTTGCTTCAACAAACGATGATTGAAGATGCCCTTACAACAAATAATTTCAAAGTCGGTCATTAAGATATTGTAAGCACAGAAGTAAATTTGTCAGAACCACTTCAGAAAGTATGAGACTGAAAAATAAACAGTAAAATGTTGCTATACAATGCCATTTGTAGATGAAAATATTGTTCACTCCAATGTGACTTGAATATCACAAAAAGTACCGCTAAGCTCAAACTTTCAAGTGCAGCAATTCACATAATAAAGTGCTCTTAATTCACCCATGGTAATTTAAAATGGTGTTGTGAGCAGAATGAATCACCCAGAAAAGGCCTATATATTTAAATTTAAGTCTGTGAATCAAAATTTTATCAATATCTCCACTTTTGAACAGAGACCTATACTTATAGAATAAAAGGGTCCGACATTATTTCCGCAGAAAACGTGCACAGGTTCATTTTTGAAAAAAGAGTGCACATGTACAACGTCCCCATTGCTAGGGCCTGCAGGAAAACTTGTAAGCAAAGCCAAAAGCAACGTATGACATGCGATGAGAGCCACCTGTCAATATTTTGCACTTTCCAACCTAAGGCGCATTTTCAAATGATGCAAATGGGCCTTGGAGAAAGCTTGTTGTCAAGACCATGAACCAGCAACCTGCCAGAAAATTCAGAGACTAATGTTATCAAGCTGCTCAACACAAAAACTAATTAAATAAAAAAAGAAGTGACTAAATTTGAAAAGAATTTATCCCAACTAAAACCAATTTTTGGTGGCACAAGCCTGGGATGACAGACAAAGCGATCTCGACAGGAACCACGCTAGACCAACTGCCGCACTCTCTATTGAAGAATGAGAGCTGTAGGCCTTCCTCTTGCTCTCCTATTGGTTCACAACAAAGTGAGATAACCCAGAATCGGTTTTCACTGGCGTCGTCAAACACAATCAATTTGTCCGTGGGCGAACTCCTTCCCCCACGAGCAGGCACGGCGTCACGAGATCCGCTACTTGATGCGCGAGAATTTGAACGGGCACGTGGCTGAGACTGTGAGGAAGAATGGGCCCTCCTGGAAGGGCATGAAAGTGGACGGGATTATGTTGTAGATGCCTCCGGGAAGGCGCTCCAACTCCATCACGGTGAAGCCGGACCTGCAGACATAGAAGAAACGTGAGACAGATAAGTGGATGTGGTTTCAATAACATTTCAGCAACAGCCACCGTTCGAAAACAAGGAAACACGCTACACGGTCCACATCTCTACACTAGTTACTGATAGGATGAGAACTGCAGGGAGAAGTTTCGGTTGTCCCACTTCCAGCGCAAGCTTCTTACCTTCGACGACGCTTTGGCGTCGTGCGAGTCTCGAGTGCATACGCACAGCCGAAGCACCGTTCTGCCTCGTCAGTGAGTATAGTGTAGGCTTGCGAGTATTAGCGGCGAGATGCTTCGGTGGCGCCCTCGTTCGGTTACCTTTTGTGACGTCATTGCCTTGTGAACAACAAGTTCGATGGTGTTTGTAATGGGCATGGTGGAAGCCTGAAATCATAGCGCTCTCATAGCAACACTGCCAACACCGTCAAAATTGAACTTCTTATATTCCTCTTATTTCCGCCGATGAGACATCCTTTGCTGACGCCATAGTCAGCATTCTGCCATTTGTGGTGGGCCAACCACAGCGACGCTTTCGATCGCTCACATTGCCAATAGTGAGTATAGTGTAAGAGTGCTCAAGAGCTACGCTCAAAGCATAACCACTCTTTTACTCCCAATGACTGGAGCTGCCAGGACGGTCGACAATTCGTTTTCCGTCTCGTGACATTTCTTTACGTGTTAGAGGCTAGTGGCTGCGGCCATTTTGTTACCTACAGTCGGTGACAGGTAATGAACCCAGCACCTGCTCAGTCTCCAGAGCGTGCTCGCTGCCTTCCATTGGGTTTTAATTGCACGCAAGACACAAAGGCAGGAACTTAATGCTTGAGGCAGTGGATCTACTTGGTTCTCAAGTTACCACAGACCATGGGGTAGCACGGGCACCATGATTCATTGGCGAAAGCTGTGGTCCTGAAATGCGAGCGTTTAGATTAATGCTGACTGACTTCCCACTGTCTAAACATGCAAAAAACACAATTACTTTACTAGTCACTTCTTTTGAACTACTTCTGTACCATTAGTTCGCCCCGTGACATTTGCAAGAATGACACAATATTGATAAGATGAAATCTGACAAAGAAGTAGGAGCAGTTGGATGCTTTGTGAGGCAAGGTGGCCTGACTTAGAAAGTGGTGCTTACTTGTACATCCCAGATCCTTTCCGTGAGAACACGTTGGGACAAGAGGGGTTGTTGGCCGTCACCGTCACCACGTCAAACCCAATCTGGTACTGCCTGCAATCAGGAAGGATGTGCCTTTGTTTCCCAGCACTACTCAAGTGTAATACTCAATAATATGCTCTTTATTACGTTTTAGTAGACAGTCAAAGCTAAGGGAATGAGCTTGTATTGTGGTTTAAAGGCACGCTTTTGCTGCATGGGCACAATGTGATGAAGAAAAAATTGTTCTTTGTGATGCAACTAAGGTTATCCATTTTCACATGCAGTCTTTCAATGTTGTTGAATGAGATACCTAAGTCCAGCATTCTATGAAAGTTGCGAGCAAGGTGTGGTAGCTACAAACAGATACAAGCCGAATTATTTGAGTTTTCAAATAGCAGTTTTGAATAATGTGCTATTTGATATTCGCTTCAAGATAAACTACGATATTCATATTTTTCGAAGTGATGATCGCGGCTGGTTAGCCCAGTGAGTGCACTTCTTGCCGAGCACCTATGCACTGCGGGGAAGTGATACCCGTGAGGCTCGCAGGTTTTGCGAGTATTGCTTCCCCGCAGTGCAAAGTGCTCGGTGAGAAGCGCACCCAACGGACACGGCGCCGCCAGTCGGAGCCGCTGGGCGGTGCGGCCGTCCGGCGTCCCAACACAAGGCGGCCACATCGGCCTTCGTTTTGTGGGCATTATAGTCACGTGACAGCACTGGCTCTATCGTGTTCTCGAGATCGTGCACGCGCCTGTGCCAGATTTCTTGCACTTTCGTCATCTGCTCTTCGTTAGGTTTTTCTGTTTTGGCTCTCATCTTTCGCACATATCAGCGTCAAAACCGCACTCGCTGCCTAGATGACAAGCGCCGATGATGACCTGGTGATCAGCGCGTGAATGTGATCACCCTAGCCTGCTCGTTGATCTTGCGACATCGCCGCGTTCTGAAAAGGAGACGCAGGTTTTAGGTCTGGCCGAGTTGGTGCTACCAAAACACCGAGGGACGGGTCGGTGCTTTGCTGCCCTGCGTGCGCACCAGATGAAGGCTACTTTCGAGAGTGTCACCAAATCAACACGACATGTCACAATGCAGGCGACATGCGACAAGTGCCAACGTAAAAGAGTCACGAAGAGGTGGCTTGCATGTTGCCATGGCATCCCAACGTCACTCTTTACGCCACCTCCCATTGGCTTCTTTCGTCTGCGGGAAAAACGGCGAGCTCTCAAATGCGCGGCAACGTTTGCCTGGGCAGCGCCCAGTGGCGAGCCGCTGAGGTTGAAAACTGGTTTTTGGCCGGCACCACGCGGCATCCAGCGGCGCTCAACGAGCCTCCGCGACGCTAGTGTGGTTGGGCATTAACTTGCGAGCGGCGTGCACTATTAATAAAGCTGGGGTCCAGGAATCGCCCAGCCCCCGGAGATGTTTCATCCATTGGATCAACATACATGTTATCATCTGTGGTCCGCTTTCAGACAGTGAAATTGGTTAGTCCTAGGAGCGATCACATCGCTCTCCATGCGGAGTGAGCTTCATAGGGTGTTTTCTCTTTGGCAAAAAGAATGCTAAAGGTGCCCTAAGAAAGGTTTGCGATTTGTGCAGCAAGGTTACTCTGGTGAGCCCAGGACCAGCTGTGACTGCGTATCCATCAGTGGAGACGTGCCACAGTAATGCCCGTCAGATGGGCATCTTAACCCCTTCGCTTCCGCCATGATGCGGCCCCTTCCTGCATGGTATACCGTGCCTTGTTTTCACTCTGCCCGTGCCTTCTGCGGCGCCGAGGGGAAAGTTTAATAACTTCCGGAAAAAAAAGTCACAGGAAGATAACTTTTGTTTTATTTCAATCCTGAATCACAGGCAAACGTAATGCACCTAGAAAGACTTTCGAGTGTGAAATAACTTAAAACAGACGGGCATGTGAAGAGCGGCTTGACATTTTTCGCACTCCCAGCGGCTCTCACTTCTTTTGCCCTGGACCTTGCAGACGTGGCACCACCTAGATGGGTTTGGTTTCATAGCGTTGGCTGGGATCTGGCGAGGGAAATGCGGCATCCCTCTAGGCGCATCGGCGAGGCACTCACCGATGGCTTTTCTCATCGCTTGTAACCGGGCAACACTGTCTCCTCCACGATCTGCTCGGCGAGGTCGACTTTCCAGTCCGTGCAAGCTAGACTTCTTGCCTGTGGTTTTCCACAAAGTATATAGCTAATGTAGACAGCTATATCCATGACATAGAAAAACATCTTTTTGTACCCTTTGGCATATCTCCGCATAATGGGAAACGAAGCCAGCTGCTGATCCTCATGGTGGACGCCTCCCATACCTCTGTTGTAATAAAACACAACCTGGGGTTTGAGGACTGGCGGGTTGTCTTTTCTTTGTTTTACTATGCCCCTCAGGTTTGTTGCATCATGGGAGGTTGAGAGCAAGGTTATGGGCTTCCTGTGCTGTCATGTCACAGCCATCAGTCCACGGAAAAAGAGGCTGTGTCAGTCACCCTTTTGAAGCTTGATCTTTTCAGCTCCTGCAGCATGTTCTTTCGATGAACCCAAACTGTTCCGACAGCATTAAAGCCCACTTCGTGGATGTGAATGAAGAGTAGCGGGGACGAGTAACAGTTATCTGTATAGATGGTGTGACCATTTCCAAGACGGTCTCCCACAAGGTCAACAACAGCCTCGCTGCATAACATTCCAGCTGTTGCCGGGGTCCTCTCACTTTTGCCTGTGTAAATAGAAAAAATCAGGCAGTATCCGCTCGACGACTCGCACAGCTTGGAAAATTTGATTCCAAAGCGCGCTTTGACGGATTGAATTGAATGTAGGACAGACGGGGACCACGGAACTTCATGAGGCTCTCGTCTACCACCAGTCCCTCGCCTGGAGAACACAAGACACCTTCAAAACATAGTCCAGGACTGGACACAGCTTTCAAAGTTTGTCGTCATCAACTGGCAGGCTGTTGTCGCACAGGTGAAGGTATCGTGAGAGCGCCCAAAACCGCTGTCTGGGCATCACGGACGCAAAGAAGGGCGTGCTAATGACGCTTCTCTGAGACCAGTAGGCTTGAATGCAGCTTTTTTTCACTTGGCTCATGAGAATACAAAGGGCAAAGTACGCCTTCATCTCACCTGGAGTTGTTGGAAACCACGAAAGTCCCGGAGAGAAGGCCTGCTTCTCAAGTGCGTAAGCATTCGTGTGACGTGCAAGCATCTGCCAAAAGTCTTCGCCTAACAGAGCATTGAACATTGACAGAGCTGTAGGACTGTCCCCTACAGCTATCTAAATCTTTACACCTGGTGTTCCGGATCTCTGCGACTTTGTCGGCACTGTCGTCGTCTTCCTGCTGCGTCAAGTCTTGGAGCTTTTGATGGTGGTGGCGCAACGGGCACTGAAGAATCAAGCGGTTCTTCTGGGTCCGAATTCTCAGCATCGTTGTCACGGTTCGAATCACTGCTTTCGATATCCATGGTGAATTCTGGGTCGTCGCAGTCATCATCCTCATCACTGCCAAACACCAGTTCAAGAATTTCCTCACTCTTGAGACACCTCCTCTTCCGTGACGCCATGTTTTCATACAAAGAAAAAGAACCGTAAACTTCTTCCTTTTCACTTCTAAATATTCATAAAATAATCACGCATGTGGCACCATCTGGTGTCGGAAGCACTAATCGAAACACCTACAGCCTGTAAAGTGTCTCCATCTATCAATATATTTTATAAACAAATTGTTTTGTGGAGGACGGCGATTCGCCGTCTTATTGCACTTTGGCCCTTTCTCCCTCGGACAGCGGATCGCCGTCTTCGGAAGCAAATGAGTTAAATGACCTTTACGGAAAATGTGAACCGTATTTATTCGGATATAGGTCGACCTTTTTTTTTTTCGGAAATGTTGTCAAAAATTAAGGGTCGACCTATAATCGTGACCAAAGAATTTCGACCTAATTCGCAACCAAAATTTGAAACCCTACCGAGGGTATGGAGCTATCATTCACCTAGCCGGCGTCCCGGTAGAGCCGCGCGGCTTCTTGTTTCAAAAAGCTTTTGATGCACAAAAACAACCGAACAGCAGCAGCCGACAGCGACAGCACGTGTCCGCCGGCTACGACTCTCGCGCACATTCCTCGGGCGTCGAGTTTCGCCATCACGCCTGTAGGGTTCCCCTCGCTGGCTGATAATAAGGTTAAGAAAACGATTCTCAGTGAAAATGTCATCTCCACAGTTAGCATTTTCATTTGAGTATGTTATCTCCGTCTTGTAAGCTGCGAGGCCCCTGTCGACCACGATGACTGGGCATCCATGCTCTGTGGGAAAGTGAATGCAGAGGCTTTGTAGATATGGTATGTGTCTATTATCTACAAATATCTCTGTCCACAGAAGTTATTGTTTTCGTTGCTGTAGGAAAGATTACTACATAAAAAACAAAAGCCCATGCAGAATTGTTGCCCTGCACAAGCAGGTGGAATGACTTGCACGTGCAGAGAAAAGAAGAATGAAGAAAGCATAGAGGGATAAAGGGGAAAAAGTTTTAAATGTGGTAGAAAATAGTTTTCACTGCTTAATGGTGGAGGCTTGAACAGAGCATAGCTTGCCCCAAGCAGCTGACTAGTTTAAGAGGCAACTGACCCATAAATAAAAAGCTGAAACAGAAAAGCGAACGAATTGATCATTTTAAAATTACCTACAGGTCTCGGAAATTACTGCCTGGTCTTTAGAAGATCTTCTATAGCATGGTGCCAGAGAAGGACATGCATGAGTTCCCCCATTCACGGAACTAGAGCTAACCTGCCAAAAACACAATTCTAACAAAACCACTGGTACAAGTATATTGTGCTAGGGAAGGGTCATAGAAGCATTCAAAGGCCAGGCAGTGTGGAAGTCAAAAGAAGATTCAGTGAGAAGGGCCAGCCAACTCACTTGGGGCCCTTGAGGCTGACCAGCATCTGGTTGTCGTCGTGCGATGTCTGCAGGCACACCTGGTAGACCGGGTTGCGGCCATACGTCTCGGGATGGTTGCCACAGCCCCCGGCCGTCTCGGACGTCCAGGCGCCACGCTTCTCCTGGCAAGACAGCCAATCCGAAGGAGCATCAGCAACGTTCAGAGAGCAAAAATGCGGGGTGTTACAAGTCAAAAAGCTCACTCTAAAATCGGCAGAACAAAAATTGGGCCCTGAATGTAACAATTTATAACTTTCACAGAGGCGTGCTTTAGTGGTGCATTTGACCTTGCGAAACTTTAATGTGTAGCTCCCTTCCTGCGGAAAATTAGACAAACACCCTTGGCATTTTCAATGGCAGACACCTACGCAGATGACAGAGTTAAACGAGTGTTGTGCCTGGGGTACCATCTCCCAAAAGGTGAGGCAAGCATACATAGCTTGCACCGACGTCACTTTGTCAGACCTAATGGGGAAAAGAGCGTGCGAGGGGGTAGCTTATGCTGTATTAACGAGATACTTCTGGTCGCCAGAAAAAGGGGTAGACTTGGCAGAAAGGGCGCGCGAGAGCGTAGCTTTTGCCGTGTTAATGAGGTGCTTCTGGCCACCTGAAAGAGGGGCAGACTGACGTCACGTGCAAGCCACATATACAGCGGCATTTAGTCAAAAGCAGACGACACAGTTGTGTGCTTGCTGCATCCCTTGGTTAGAGAGCCTATATTACAGAGGGTCTCCAACTGCTCATAGGGGTCACGTGGTTTATGGGTTGCATTTGCAATACAAGCTGAGAAGAGGTAACGAATGCGTTGGTCGTATGCAAGCGTCTCTGGCTTTACCACCCCCTCTCCTCACCTAGCGACAATGCAAAGCAAGTGCACTTGCGATTAATTGGCACAGGAAGCATCTACCATTAAATTGCTTATATCTGAGATGCACCCTCTCTTCAATTTAGTCTCTTTATCCTTGGTTAATTCAGACATCGGTGTCGACGTCCGCCATTGAAAATGTCAAGAGTGTTGGTCGAATTTTTTGCAGGAAGGCAGCTATGCCTTAAAATTTCACAAGGGGGAATACGGCACTAAAATACACCTTCGGTTAAAGTTTGAGCTCATTATGTGCAAGAACTGATTTTTCTGGCTAATTTTAAAGTGAGCCCATCGATTCTTAACACCCTAGATATATACGGCAAAGATTGTCTCAGTGTCTCGTGACTTGACTATAACCAGATTATACCTACCATAACATCCCGGGAGATAGCTCACCTAACATCAAGAGCAAATCAGGTGAAAATGTGAAGCGGGCTAACTTTCAATGTACAATAAAAAAAGTACAAAAAAATTGCTACTTTTAGGCTTGTTATGGTGACGAGGGGCAACAAAGCAAAGAACACTGTACTTCCCGGTCCAGCAACGTTCGCTTATATCCCGATATAGCTAACTAGCCGCATTTATGCCGAGGATGCATCATTGATCCCAACACTACTATTTATTATTAGCAGTGGGCTAGCTTTCGGTGTTTAAAAAAAATATAGCAAATCAAGCCCAAAATGAGGGTGGGCTATCTTTCAGGAGTGGGGCACCTCTCAGGATTTTATGGTAGACCCCATTTGATTTGTTATGAGAAAATGACACCCCATCTATTCATGCCTAATTCAGTGTAACACAAATATTTATCATCTAATTTCTCTGTATATTGTTTAATGTAAGCATGTTAAACTGGCTTATAGTCCTACACCACTGCAGGAACTAGAAGGGCATTCTAGCAACAGTATCGGCAGTGAGACGCATGTTGGAGAAAACATAAGTTATCCATGCTCTTTGTTATGTGCTCTTCATATGCTGATATGTCTTTCAGTACTCTGTGTTTAGAAGATTAACCTCAGGCGTGCCTCATATCAGTTTGCAATGGTAGAAGCCGAACCATTACCCAACTGTCCACAAAATGGCCACTCCCAAAGTTCTCGACACCAATTGCATACTTTAAGGGTATGTTTGAGAATACCGTACTTACTCACATAATGAAAGCACTTGCATAATGAACGCACCCCCCACAACGGGCATCAATATTTGGACTTTTTACGGCGAAGCTGTTATGGGCTAGTCTGGGGGAAAATGTGCCCTCACATGTCAACAGAAAACTCCCCATTGGTCGTGGCAAGTATGAAAAAATAAAAATAAAAAGGGGCGGCCAACCAGCTCCCCATTGGTCTTGGCAAGTATGAATAAATAAAAATAAAAAGGCTTGAGGTACACCTAAGGACTTTTTATGAGTTGTGAATGCGAAAGCAAGCATGCCGCTCTTTGCTCCCTTCTGTCGTCTGTTGTGTATGGCAGGCTGACCTAGGGCGTGGAGCGGTGGAGACGCCGGAGCCGCTGCCTCGCGGACATGCAGTGCCATCGGGTGAGCGATCGTTGAACTGACGAGCAGCGGCCAATGGGAGCCTTGTGGACGCACGCCAGCCAATGGGACCAAAGCCGAAAATACATCGGCTTTACTTTGCTCCTTTGGGATCGGGGAACTTAGTTGCTGTGTCTAGGCTTTTCGCGTGGTTTCATAGCTGGGAGCTGGCTTCACTCGGAGAAAGGATTTAAGATGCCGTTTTCGCACTTCAAACTGATGACGTTGGCTCACTCCATGATACCAGTTAATGCTTTCGCATTAAAAAGAGGGGGCAACCGGAGTGAGTCAGTCTTTCTTGGCATTATTAGGCAGTGAGATCCTGATCCCTTGTTATCATCTCAGGCACCGTCTTCAAAGTTATCCTTAAGGTTGCGCGAGATGTTGTCCTCAAGGTCATCCTAGAAGTCGTCCATGAGAACGTCCGAGAGGTCGTCCTCTAGGCGTCACCCTCGAGGTCGTCCTAGAAGTCGTCCTTGAGGTCGTCCTCTAGACGTCGTCCTTGAGGTTGTACTAGAAGTCGTCCTTGACGTTGTCCTAGAAGTCGTCCTTAAAGTCGTCCTAGGCGTCGTCCTTGAGGTCATCCTTGAGGCCGTCCTAAGCGTCATCCTAGGGGTCTACCTTGACGTCATCCTGGATGTCATCCTCTAGGTGTCGTCCTTGAGGTCGTCCTAGACGTTGTCCTCTAGGCATCGTCCTCAAGGTCGTCCTAGAACTACACAACCTCGATCCTGTTGACAAAGACCACAGAATATGTCTCTCACAAAGCACCACATGTGTGCCGGCACCATGTGCGTCCCGGCACGTTTTGATGGGAGCTCAATACTTCCAGAGTAGTTGTGCTACGCAGCTCAGTGGCTATAGTTTCCGACTACCACCGCACCAACCCAGATTCGAGCCCCGCTAAAGCGTCTTTCTCGTGTTTTTGTTTTACTTATACTTTTTTTTTTTTTAAATGTTATGTTGTGTAGCGCTTTTAGTATGTTGCTTGTTCATGACAACTTTCTCATAGAAAACGACCCATGAAAAGCATATTGTGTAAAAAAAAACCACCTCTTTGACGTGCGTGTACGGGTTGCTGATGGGCACCAGGGTGAAGGGGCAGCTGGCGTACGCCCTCAAGGTGTAGTGGATGGTGTTGCTTTTCTCGTACTGGGACACCACCAGGGTGTAGCGGGTGTCTCCGCCCTGGGGGATCACCATCTTGCACAGGTAGTGCGGGCTGTTGATGCGCACCCCGTCCAGGTACGGCGGGGGGTCGACTGGCCCATGCGAGGAACACGGGAAATGTTGGCTATATGGCACCTTCAAAAAACACTAAACTGCCCCAAAAAGCTATTTTTTATGTTCCCAGCTAAGACATGTATGTCAGAAAAAGAATGTTTAGAGGTAAATTACTTTTCTTAGCACAGCATTTATGTCGCAAGACATACTTTGGACTAGGAGCAAAACCGAAGCTGACTATTTTGAGACTTTGACCTCAAAATTAAAGTTAGTTTTGGCTTTACTCTTCACCCAAGATACGGTCAACAGCATAAATATAGAGCTAACAAACTTTGTTCCAGGTCTGCAAAAAACGCATACTATCCAAGCACCTAAAAAAATGTTTTTTGGGAGTGCAGTGTCGCTTTAATGAAGCATATATAGCAAAAAAAATGTATGAGTAACACCCCATGCAAGCTGTGTTCCTACCAATACTTGAAATATAAAGTTGAAATATGCTGTTCAAACGGTCAATTTTTAACCAACATTGTTAGCCAGAAAATTAGTCCGAAGGGTGGCTTGCTTGACTGCGTAAGGTAGACTGAAGGTCATAGACACTGGCACAATTTGCAAAGCAAGGTTAAGATTACTCGAATAGGTCCTCGGTTTATTTACAGTAGTGTACACATAAGAGAGATTCTAGAAAAACATATTCTAAAAGAAAAGGGCAACTCTTTGCACAAAGTTTCAGGCAATTGGAAACAAGTTGTTCAAGAGAAATTGCTCAATACAGGAATTGAATTCAATCCTTTGAAGCAGGCCAGGATGGAAACTCACATGGCAGGTATACTTTCTTCCCGTTGTTTTTGTACACCAGAAGCGTGATGTATTCCCGATTATTGGCAAAATCTTCCTGTCGACAGAGTGAGAATAGATGGGTTAACCGCACAAACTCATGACACTCACACTTAATCTGATGCTGATCCACCATTTGTAAAGCGAAAAGGTTACCAATGATATCTACAAGAAAGAAGTGTTTGAACAGTGTGGATACTAAATGTGCTCATTGAGTTAATCAGCTGAAATAAACGGAGTAATACTTAAAAGCATCACTTCAACCACAGCACAGATATGACATTATCTCAACTTGTTTACCTTCTGTTATTCCTGAAATATTAGGTCACTCAGCTTCCAAGATATTCAAGTTAGACCCAAGTGAAATGCTAAAAAGTTAACTCGTTTGCAAAGCCAAATGTCATATTAAAAATATCTACAGTTTTGCCTAAAACAAAGTCTACAGTTTTTGCCACAGTGTGCAAAGTGACAGCGATCAAATCAAATCAACGTTTATTTCTTTTTGTACTTACCGACAACTTGTAAGCCTCAGCAATAGTTGTTATATCGCATTGTAACTTACACTTTTATGCATGCCCACCCTTTATTTACTCGATCACACACCATGCATTCTTGTGATCTCTGAAGTATGAAGGAAAACACACTGCACACGAGTCAACGTCTCTGCCCAACACTAAATTGAGACATGTACCGTTATCAGTGGTGGGTTGCTTTACATCTTATAGAAGACTCAAATCAAGTTCTACGGTGAGGAACGTCCCTTGCCAATCCCAAAAGTAGAAGACACTGCCACCTGGCAAGAGCCAAGTGCGCGTGCTTTGCCTGTCATCATGGGGCACTGCACGCACAAGCGCACGTGAAACAGTTTTCTGCCTGGCACAATGCCGACGCTGCAAATGCAGCTGGGAAGTCCCTATAACAGCTATTGCTGCAAAATCTAAGCGCTGACTCTCAGGGTTCATGATTGAGATCTGCGATCCAATGGCCAGAGGTTGCCCCCTCACCCTGTCGGTGATGTGCCGGGTGAGAAGGATCCAGACGGCGCAGCCGGACTTGGTCATCTCCAGCGTGTACTGTGGGTTCTCTCCAATGTTGTACAGGTCCTTGGCAGGCCCCGTACCGGCATTCCACGTCCTGGATGACAAAACGGATCTTTATACTCAGTCATTCCCGAGCAAAACGCCAATAAAGAAATGCATTACTCCGAGGGTCCACAAATTAAGATACCAATCAACAGTAGTGAATTATCCAAAATTTGCTTCTGTACAGGTTGGGATGGTTGAGGGTGGGGGCTAGCTATCATTACAAGAACATAAAAAAAAAATTGCAGTGAAAAAAAGATGCGACAGATTTCCGAGCCATAAAAGCCCAAAATGAAGAACCGTGCTCGATACAGGCCAATTTCCTGGAATGTAATTAAAGGGGCACTGAAGACGATTTTATTTAATTTTTTTATATGGCGTGTTTATGCTTCTTGGGAACATGGCATGCTGCCCAATTTTTTGTAGACATTTGCGGCGTGTATTTCTGTGCCTACGAAAGAAGTAAAGAAACTGAAACTGAACAATCTCCATTCTCGTTTCTGGGCCTCCGAAAACTGAGGTGATGTAGAGAGCGACGTCAAGTGTGAAAAATTACCGCATCTCCACGTGGTGAATGATGTTGATTGGGGCGAAGCTCGGGTGGTGCTGATGACACTGATTTTGGTCATAGGTAGTGCTGATGGTGCCGTTTTCATTCATGTCAATAGGAAAATGTGAGGTTCTCTTCTTTTTCTTTTTTTAAGAAGACAGATGGGATGGCAACTCAGAACCCTTACTCTTTTTTTTTATTCTTTTTCTTGATACTGATTTTGGTCATAGGTGGTGCTGATGGTGCCGTTTTCATTCATGTCAGTAGAAGAATGTGTGGTTTTCTTCTTTTTATTTTTTTAAGAAGACAGATAAGATGGCATCTCAGAGCCCCCTATTTTTTTTTTCTTGCTTTTGCTGCTAAACTCACGAGCAGGAGCTCGTAAGCTCCTGCTCGTGAGCTCACGAGCAGGGGCATGCCGGACGGCGGACGGACATGGCTAGCCCCTAAGGAGCTTCGCCCCTAATAGTCGGTATTGGTAGTATTTAAGAGATCGAGACTCTGGTTACTGCGGTGGGTTATAGCAGTGCGGTGGCACGGTCGTTTCGTTGAATCTGTCAACATGAACGGCAATGCCGCTCTCACGAGCGAGTTCGAGCTTCTGTTCAGTGAGCTAACACCAACAGAATGAGAGTATGTGTGTGGCCGCCTCTGCCATCACCCGACGGAGACCGCCCAGCCGGCAACGAGTAGCACGCATGCCGAAGGAAACGGACGCGGGGGAGATGCCGAGAGAAAATGCGGCAGCGATTCGGCTGTTCCGGGAACCGGTTCTTTTGCGAGGGATGCTCCCCAAGAAGGAGAAAATAAACAGTACCATTTCTGGTTTTCACCAAAGTTGGACAGACGTGAAAACTAGCACTGCCCGAACAAATACTGGTCTTCAGTCGACCGTTAGAACAGCCATCTACAGTGCACAAATTTGGCATGACTACCATTTTGCAGAATCCTTCGAGTACCGTGTTCTTTTTTTTATTTTATTTTGTTTGCCCCATAGTTGGCTCGTCGCCCGTTTCGCGTCCAGCGTAGCAAAAGGCAAAACAATTATACTGCTTTATTTACGGTTTAGTAATCATTTCCGGCCCGATTTATACTTTTTATGGTTATTCAAGTGGAAATTAGAACAGTATTCCAAAAAATCGCAAACTAAAACGTGACCGAGGGCACGTCTCTCGTTTCGACCAATCGCTGAAGTGTCTCTTGTGACGTCGCGCTTCTTGGCCCCGCATCGGTCACGTGAGCTCCGCTTCTCCTGGCTTCTCCCGCAACTCTCGGGGTGTCGCCCCAGCCGATCCCGGTACGATTATTACCGCGACTGTTTATTTGATTTGCGCGGCACACAAGCGCCGGTTTCGGCTGAAATTTGGGCAACGTGGCCTCAGACGTGCCTGGAACTCAGTTCAATCACCAAAAAGATGTCCGAAATTGCCTTCACTGTCCCTTTAAGCCTTCTCAAAACTGAAATCAGTGAGTAACGTTGCTTACTAAAAATTTGATTTTCCAAAAATAATTAATATATAGTTTGGAACGCTGAAATAAAATATCTCAAAATAGTAATATACTTTTTGTTGCCCTGCCGACATCATGCCGTTCAACCCATCATTAATATGTTCGTTGAACGTCGCGGCTGATGTTCAAAGTCCGTGGTTCGAAAATAAAATTCTCACGAACTGAAAATAAAATTTAATAGTGAGTTCATTTTACAATTCACAAGATTAAAAAACGAATACCCAGGGTATAAAAATTTCGGCGTAAGTCGCAGGAACGAATATTGTCTGCTCCAGTTAGGTGCCTTATTGGGCTTAAGGAATGCTGAACCAAACATTTCAGTTTCTATAGCAAAGTGGCGCACTATCTTTCCACGAGGCAGCAGCTGCTGGTGTGCGCGAGCACACGCAACGAAATTGACGCCATCATATCCCCCATTCATCCATTCACGGGATGAATGAATGAATGCGTGTGCTCGCATTCATCCGGTGTGCGCTTGCGTGTGCTCGCGCACACCGGCGGCTGCTAGCTCGTGGAAAGATTGTGCGCCCATGGGCAAAGACTATGGGGGGGCAACGGGGCTCATGCCCCCCTGGTGAAATTCGGGGGGGGGGGGGGGGGGGGGGGGCCATGATCCTTACCGAGATGCTGTTTACGTGCCATGTAACGAGCTTCTAGTAGCGGCATGTAAACAAAATAACCCGCACGTTGCCTTTATTGACAAAATACAAGGGAAATGGAATTCCAGTGTGTTTTCGTTAGCTTCAATCTCCAGTTCTGGCAAAAAAATAATTTCGCAGCACCCCCCCCCCCCCCCCCCCCCCCCCCCCCCGGGAGAACTCAGCCTGCCCCCCCCCCCCCCCCCCCCCCCCCCCGGGAAAATGGAAAGTCTATGCCGCTGTGTGCGCCACTTATTATAGACGCTGAAATGTTTGGTTAGACACTAAAATGTTTGGTTCAGCATCCCTTTAAAGCTAAAATAAAAGTATGCAAATCTTGAGCAGTCATGTTGAGCAAAAATGCCAAACCCGATAAAAAGCATTCTAAATTACTGGGAGTGATAAATTCATAGTGAGATACACTCGAAATCGAAGCAAAACAAACACTTAAGACTGCTTACATGCAGGAATGCGAAAGCATTCCTACATGCAGCACATTCCTACAAACAGCGCGCCCCACTGTCTGCAGCGCGGAGGACAGCGAGCAGCATGTCTCCTCCGCAGGTGAGGTCAGGGGCTCCTACGCAGCGCGACATGGCTGAAAGCAGAGTAGTAGGGTTGTGCGAATATTAGAAATTTCGAATAGTAGTTCCGCATAATACACTATTCGATATTCGCTTCGAAAAGAACTGCACTATTCGCGTTTTTCGAAGTGTTGATTGCGGCGGGTTAACCCCGTTGAGTGCGCTTCTTACCAAGCACCGGTGCGCTGCGGAGAAGCCAAACCCGTGGAAGTGAGCTCCCCGGGTGTTGCTTCTCTGCATTACATTGGTGCTCAGTAAGAAGCGCACTTAACGGGGTAACCCGCCGCGATGAACAATATCGTCATTGCGTGCTTGGAAGAAAAACAGACATTCAAAGCGGGATGGTGCACCCGTGCCGACTGTACTTGAAAATAAATGGAAACTTTGTGAATGTGTATATCTACATTCTAGTAAACGTTTCAAAATTAAACTTTTATGCAAGAGTATACTAGGTTAAGCAGAGATGCTTTCACAACCTGTGTTCATCATGCGCGATTCATTCTTTTTTAAATCGAAATTAAAGAAAGAATATTTTATATAGCAAGATTTGTAAATTCACTCACTTGGTATAGTTGGCTATCTTTATAGGATTCATTTTATGTCAAATCCGTCATTTACTTGTCATCCCAAGACATCAGACCTTCTGAGGTCACAGTTCATAAACATAAATAGATTAAACTTGGCTTATACATGAACAAGTGGAATAACCTTCACCTGTTGTAGGGCCTCGGCCCTACAACAGCTAAACCTGTTGTAGGGCGCTCGGCGCCCTACAACAGGTTTAGCTGGGTTTTCGTCTAAGCATTATGCTATGGTAGTGAATGGCGTGGAAAAACTATTTGATATTCTAATCAAAAATATTCGGCCAAAACCACTATTTGCTTCAAATTCGCTTCGAACTCAAAATCCACTATTCGCACAAGATTACAGAGTAGAACAAGTGAGGAGAGGGAATTTCCCGCTCCCCCTTTCTCCCCTTCTCCGGGCCTCCAGCCACGCCTGACACGTGACCCAAGAGGGGGGAGAGAGGGGCTGCCGAGTTTGGAGCCACCCTCCCTTTAGTTGCTCGTCTTTCATGGACACAGAAAACACTGGCTGCACTTTATGCACGTCGCATTAGTTGCCTGTTTTTCGCAGTCACAGACAACGCCGGCGGTGCTCCATAGACAGTTCATGCTTTTGCATTAATAAGAAGAGCAGAGAAGATCCTCACCGGTGAGTGCAGTAAGTATACTGGAACAAGTTGGGGTTCCAGTTCAGGTAGGCGACGTCAAAGAAATGGCACACCGAATCATAGTCGATCCAGAACACCCCTGCGATTAAGCAGACAAGCAGCCTCAGCTAAATCAACAGCTCAGCAGAATACATGTCATTGTCATTTTAGGTTTGTGGCCCGAATCAACCCTTTTCAAAAGTGTCGCCATCTAGGTATACTCTGTTTCACCATAACTTGGCAAACGGTGTGACTGTACTCTATCCCACTAGTTGCAAGCAGTGCAGTTAAAGCCACGGCCGGGAAAGGAAATTCGTTTTTCTACGAAGTCTTAGTGATGAGATAATCTTCTACAGTCTAAGCTCATTATAACAAACCTGGTTACAACAGACATTTGGATATAACATACCAATTTGTGAAGTTCGGTTGGTTTTCCTCTATGTACCATTGATTCAACTTCATATGTGCATACAACATACTCCTTTTACAACAGACCGAAATGTCGGTAAAAATCAAGGTCTGTTACAACGAGCTTAGACTGCAGGGGGAAAAAAAGTGACAACTGGGACAAACATGTAGTAAACTACTGGGCAATTTGTTAGACGTAAAATGTTCCGGTATTGCTTCGAAATGTTACCAAGCCCAGTTTTTACGCTCATTCATCAGATAACCCAACACGTGGCACATAGACTTGATAGCAGTTTCTGAAATGAAGATACTGGTGCTAGTCGGATTTTAAAGCCTGGCGGTTTTCCAGAACCTCCTATATTCGGGAGAATAAGCCAATCGGCGTTGATCACAAGACCTTTCCACCAGTCAATCAGCGTCGAACTTCACGGTCGATTTTTTGGGCTTCACTAAATCTGGCAATGCAACACCCCCCCCCCACGAGCCAAAGAATGCTTCAAGTTAAACGAGGGTCCGGGTGAGAGGAAGTTCCTCCTTGCCCCTTTTCCTAACTGCTTTAGTTGCACTCTTGCCCCTGTACCATTGGTAAGGGATGTCGCATGCATTTTCTCCGTCGCTTCCCAAGGGGCCATAGCTCTTCGCCAGATTATGATGAAACGAAGTTAGCGGCTGCTGCCCCAATTATCCGAGTCCACCACTAGTCAGGCACGCACTCCGAGCAGGTATTGGATACGAGTGCTGCGTCACCGTTCGGCGAGGACTCGAGTCCAATTGCACGCTTCGTGCCCGAGAAATGGTGACCGCCAATGTTGCTCGACGGGTTTTTGAAAAGAGTTTATCGAAAGCAGGTTTTGGCCAGAATCTCGCATCTGACCGTACCATTGTCAAACATGGCGGCGTTCCTGGGGTCGTAGCGCAGAGCCTGGGACAGGGCCGGAGTCCAGTTGACCGTGTCTCGCTCGGAGTACTTCCCCTTCCAGCGCAGGTGACTCCAGGGGTTCTTGAGCAGGAACAGACGCTTGCCCTTTAAGGCGAGAAAATCAAGAAGATCGGCGAGGGGTCAAAAGCAGAGAGGCAATCTGCAAAGCTTCTTTCTTGGGTGTCACACTCAGGATTGCAAAAGCCACGTAAAAGGTACTCAAGCGGTAGACAGGGCGTCGGGAAATCATCACGGTACCGTTATACTTCGCCGCAGACTGATCTAGCATTTTTGGCAAGCAGGACGGCGGGACACACTCTCTGCATCTTCCGTCGAGCGCGTCGACAAAAGCTGGTGAAAACGGGCAACATTGGTTCTATAGAGATGCAAGATCTGAGCCCATTCGCTTCCCGAGGGAGAGCAAATTGACTTAGAAGGGCAAGGGGCTAAATCATACCTTTGGTTTCTAAGCTAAATGGCATGAGCCACCGCCCGGTACAGCCATTAGCATCTATCTATCCGTGTGGCTGAAGTGTCGTTATTCTAAACCACAGGTTCTCAAAGTGGGTTCCTAGAAACACAAGGTTTCCCACAGCACCCTCGGCAGTTCATAGAGCTCCCAAATTCTCTCGTCTGTCCCCACCCCGAGTAAAGCGTTTTTTCCGATTAAGCACTATCGGGGAGGAGATCAAGGAGTGGCGCTTCCTAGCGGCCACCTAGGGAACTAACGCTGTGAGGCAAACAAACATCCTTCAACCACAGTCATTAGTGCATCTGCTGCCATAGAAGACGACTATGCGAGGCTTGTGAAAGATATGTAACTATTCTTTTCTCCTAAATGCATCTAGATAAAAGTAATCTTGTCCCCTTTAGCATTGAAGTCATTGAAGTCCTCTAGGAAGGCAGAGCAAGCATATGTATGGTAGTGGCGGATTCAGAGGGGGGGCCCGGATGTCTGGACCACCCCCCTCTTGAATTCTGCATGTGTGAAAATTTAGGGCGGGGAAATGGGGGAAATGGGGGGGGGGGGGGGGGGGGGGAATTTACGAAGATATGATACGCTGACCACCCCCCTCTGGAAACACTTGTGTGCGTGCGCAGGCACACGCGAGCGTGCTCGGCCAGCCACATGCGCTGGATCGTGTGTGGCCAACACGCCGTCAGTGTTTTTGTGAATGATTCACAAAACATGCGCATTACTTTTCAGTTACCCTACCACTGCAACAATCGTGGACGACATCAGCAAAAGCAGGCGGTATCTCGTTGAAGGAGAGGACTTGCTCAACTGCAATCATGTCATCAAGTGCACCGTTGCACCAGAGCCGACGGCGGACAGTGTCCACATTGTCGCTGTGGTGAACTGTGATCGGACATTACACTGAGGTGCAAGAAAGAAGAAGACAACGGGATTCGGAAAGAAAAGAAGCACGAGACAACAGGGAAAAAAAGAAGGAGAGGTGACTGGAAAAACGAGGACGACAGCTGACTGGGGGTTGTCTTCCTGGGAGCCGTCGACGCAAACAGAAACGACTCGGCGTAAGTGCGAGGGAGAACCGGGCCGTATCGTGAAGACAATGTTCCGTTAATTTAATGTATTGAATTAGAGATTGGCCTCAAAATATCGAACCTCCTCACAGTCACGTTTGTGCTGCAGTCCTCCAGGCTGCATATACCCGGTTCAAAAGCATGCTTCGAGCACTGCAGTATGCAGCAAGTGCGCACCATATTGCAACAAACAAATGTGCAGCGAGCGCAGAAACGATGCGGTGTACGCTAAGGGAGTGCTGGCGTCGAAGTTGTTTGCCACACAGCGATTGTTTGTGGTGGTGATGATGATGATATAATGAAACTGCGCTCCCTATAGTTCAATCTCCTCGCCAATATCCTAGCCTCCACCGACGTGCAACTATAAGCCAAACACTCCCTAATATGTGAATCACTGTTTACGTGCCCCGTAGGCCCCCAAAATGCTTTACCGCATAAATGCCAGGACAGGGAGGAGTTGCTCGAGATTGAGAAGTTTGGGAAACCCCACAACTCTAGAGCGCATTCGGTGGCTCTCCTTACCAGCACCTCCTTAACGTCCAGCATGGCGTAGGCGTGGGAGGGCACCAGGCCGGACCGGTCGGCTTCGGCCTCTGCCAGCTCGCCTGTGGCCAGGGTCACCAGCACGTCCCCCCGCTGGTGCCGATCCAGCAGCTTGGCAAACAAGGCCTCCCGGTCGAACGGAACCTCCCCTCCGCCGTGCAGGCTTACCCGCTCGGGGATCCAGCCTGTCAGAGCGTGCAGGTCGATGTTCTGCGGAAAAAAAGGGAATGCAAAACTATTTTAATGCGGGATCGCGTTTTAACCAAAGCTAATTATGATCACGTGAGACACAGTAACAGGTGGCAGAGTTAAGGCTGGCTTGCAAACACTCGCGACCGTTTACGAACGAGTGTCGTAAACGGTCGTCGTACGACCGAGTGTTGTAAAAAAAAAAAAAGATTCATGTAATTGTAGCTGCTTTATGAGGAGTATATAACTTCTGAACTTTCAGATGCATTTTTCTCTTATTGCAATTTCAGGCAATCTTCACAGTTTGTGCACTTCCTTTCTGGTACTTAGAGTAGTCACATCCTGATGAAATTTTGCGCACACATTCTTGAGGATACATAGAGTGCTGATATCTAATTAGAAATGTAACATCTAATTTATGTTTATGCAACTTAGGGCTTACTTCTAGATAGCTTCTAAAATTACAACATTACAACTTTTTTCTTTGTTACGTTGGAAACTTATACACAATTTTTGACTTGTTATCAGTACTCCATTCTTCATAAGGAGCAAAATGGGCTGTTCCACTATGTTCCTTATGAGAAATTACTACAACAAAAGGTGTGCACAAGAAAACCTCTTTTTTGTAGTTATCTGTGATGCTGAACACAATCTATAAAAGCTACATCAAAATTAATCACTGTTTTGAAAAGAGGAGACACAACTCAATAAGCAGCTGAAGTTTCATTATCCTAGGACGAATACTAAGAAAAAAACGTCCCTGGGAGCATCGAAATCCATAGGGCAGCCGTGTAACACTCAGCGTTTCCGTATATTTCCTATTTCTTTTTAACATACTTCTGCTTTTGGCTTGAAAATCTTTTGAGAATGTTATAAGCAACCATTTCATATAGATAGTAGGGAGCTTTAGAATAACACACGCTACAGCTTTGCGTACACAAAAAACAGCATCGTCCCCACTGCGCATGCACCGAACGCTAACCACGTTTTGCGCTTTGCATGCTCTGTTTTAGCGTGCACTAATTTTTGGAAACTGTGTGCGTACGTAAAGAGTCTTTGCGTTCCTCTAAGGAGGATTTGTGATGAGAAGTTGGCTAAAGCCAAGACGAGCACATTTAAAAATTGGCGGCTCCAAGGACCGTGGCAGCGGCCGCTTTGGCAGCGTCGTGAGGGCGACTGCGATTTTCAATTTGGGACGACATTGCACTCGGTTTGGAAAACCCAGTAAGGTGGGCAGCGATCACCGACAACTTGATGCTTGCGACGTGCGAACATTTTTCGCCGAAGTTACAGTGTGCGAAAGGTCAGTACACGAGGCACCTCTCGCCGAGGCGACGCAAGCAAACACGACCAAACAACCGCTTGCGTCGCATTCTCATGTTTAAACAAAAATGTTACCCTGGACCAAAAAAATTGTTTTTCCTCAAGCTACAGCATTTCGTGTGTAAAATAAAAATTGTGACTGTATATTGGTGGCGTTGCAAGCGAAAAATGCTTGGGCTTTTGCGTCATGGCGGAGAAACGCACTTCTAAAACTCTCTTGCGTAGCATGCCCTAATGCAAACGCTAAATTGAGTGCTAACGTGCACTAAAATTGCGTACATTATTCTAAACCTTCCTAGTATGTACATTTCATCTTGCAAATACCTCAAAACTTTTGCTCGGGCAAAATGCAGTTCTGAGTCACCTCATAGATGGTGCCAGAGTGCCAGTGTGTTCTCCTGTCTCAATCGATTGCAAGACGCCAATCGTAAGAAAGCGCCAGCGTTCAAACCATAAAGTTATTACAGTATAGACCACTTACAACGTAACTGCTTATAGTGCAGGACTGGGTATAATGCGGTTTTTTTAAACCACCGGTTCACCTCCCATACAACTCCATGTAATTACATGCCGCTTAAAATGCAGGCGCGCGAAGGGAAATACCGGTTATAGTGCGGTTTCTGGCACAGCCCGCCGACCGCGCCGACGACCGGAGCGGCGAGCACGCTTCCCTGTGCGACACTAGATAACGGCGCTGACGGCGCGAGCCGCAAGCAGCACTCGCAGGGCAAGGAAGTTGCTCGAAGAAGCGGGGAGAAGCGAAGAGAGAGGCTTCAGTTGCCATAGACGGAGGGATGCACGCACGTGTCGCTCACGTGCGTGCGTCCCTCCGCTGCGTTGGAAACAAACAACCGCAACGACAGACCAATCGCAGGTCGAGGAGAAGTGTTTGCGCGCGTTGCATGCCGGTCACGGGCCGGCTGCTTCTATCCGCAAACATGGTGTCGGTGGTGATCGTCGACGTAGACGGCGTGGTAGAAGCTTATCGTTCCGCGTAAAAGCGCTATCCTTGACCGTGAATTTTGGTTGTGTGTCGCTATGATAACCCAGCACGTACTAGAAGGGAAGATCCACCTACTCGTGCGGCGATGTTGTGGCGGCGCTCTCAAGACAGCAGAAACACCCGTGTCGTTGTGTTTGTTTACTTCGACTACAGTGGTGATTTCTAAGCATTTGTGTCCTCGAACATCGCCCGGATTTCTTATTTGGCGCATTTCATGCGTGTGCTCAAGTTCAAGGTATTACTGGCACGTACCGTATGAAGGATGCGAGGATGCGAATTTTCATGCGTTTTCATCTCCAGAGAAAGGTGATTAGGGTTAACAATCCTGAACGCTCGCAACGTCCGTCCGCAACCCGCGATGCCGTTAAAAGGCTGCGCCAGGCAAAAGCCGCTCATTTCTTTCAAAATGTGTGACACACTTGAGACAGAACTGTACTAGTCTGGTGAAATAAAGACTTTCCTCAAACTAAACTTTCTTTTTCATCTAACATAAAATAAATTCTTTTACAAAGGTAAGTTGTCTGATGGCATGCATTTTGGCCTGAAAAACTGATGTTTTGGTTATAGCACGGTCCCGCTTATAGTGCGGATTTTCGCGACTCCCGCAACATACGTTATATGCGGTCTACACTGTAGAGTCAGATTTTCAATAAGTAAGTACTGTTTTATTCTTTCTGATCTATGCAAACATGCTTGTTCTATGTATAAAACATCAACTGCATGCTCGAAATCTTTGAGAACAAGCTGCCTAATAAAAGCTGCTAAGGGGCTGTCACATGCTTCGCCTCCGTCACCCTGATTGACTCGAAAGAGCCGTAGCATTCATTCTTTGACTAGTTAACGTGAAACGGAGTGTAGATAAGGTTATGACGAGGGAGATGGTAATTTTTTTTTCTTGCAGTGGTTCACGGCGAAGGCCCCCTGCTACGCACATCGATCTGTGTGTGACAACTCGCACTATGGACGATTTTTCTGGGAAACGGAGGCATCCATAATAATGAGACACGACTGTATATGGGGTAAAGCTGGCAAAACACAAGATTAAGTGAAAAACAATGCAAAAGGTGACAAAGCACAAAAATCTACCCATAACCAAAAGAGGTACAAAAATGGAGGACACACGCTCAAAGTGACGTGACAGTAGAAAAAAGATAAACAGTTGAGGTGCCTTGCTTGTTGTCTCTTCCCAGTGCAGAACTATATCCTGCGTATTGATTTCCTGTTCATGAATTATGCTTTGCCAATGAGGTAAAGTTTCTGCTTTGCAACACAAAGACAGTTTGAGCTCCATGAAACTGTTCACAGTACTTTCCAACATCTATATCAGTCAATGAGTCCTGGTTTCAATATCACAAAAGGGTAATTTACCCTGTACAACTGATACCCAGAGGCTTTCGTCCCTGTTTGTGAAGCGTTGACTTAAAAGAAGGGACAAGGGAAACCATAGCAGGTGACATCCCCAGTAGAAGTTTATGATTGCAGTGCTACATTTGTCAAACCTAAAGTCACTTCATTGAGTGGTCCCGACTGTTGCTTTTGTGCCAACTACTCCCTACCTTGTCCCCTGGCTCACCAAAGTTTGTACAAGAGGTACTTTTCCCCCCTTCCACTAACACACACAAAGAGAAAAAGGCAACAATTTTCAGCCCTGCTGCTGAAGATTTTGTGAGTTGGCAAGTGGACGAACAGGAAAAAGCAAGACTCACGGAATTGGAGCCAGGAAAGTCGTATCCTCCCATGACCTTCATGTAGGCCTTTTCCAGGAGAGAAACCCAGAATTCGTTCTTGTTGTTAGAGTATGAGCAGAGCAGCTCTGAACGCTTGCCCATGGGCAGCTGGTCATCTATCACCACCTGCGCCAGACAAGGGTAGTGGCATCCAGAGAAACAAATTTCATAACAAAAAGAAACTTGTATGCAAAAGCATTATTTTCCGTCGACCACACCACTCGCTGAGCTACCAATACGGGAAAACTCAATGGGCTTTCACACAGAGGAAGAAAACATAAATGGAATGTTTACTATTTCTTCCTCAATATGCAATATTTGCTACCAGTATGCTCGCTCTGTTCTCAATAAGCTTTGCTCCCCACCTTTTTGGTCTTGCCCCATATTGCAAGAATTGTATTGTATTTTCCGAAATAGAGTACCGTAATATCCCGAGTCATCGCCCACCCCCCTACCGCCTGAAATTCATTAAAAAAGTGGGGTGGGCCATGTCTCGGTGGGTGAGCACAAACACTTGAAAAAAAGCGGAAAAAACCACATATTTTTCTCTGCGTATTTAGCGCTGATGTACAAGAGATACATCAAACTCAAAACTCGATTTAGTTTCATTGTTTTATAGAAAAAAATGCTCACAAAAGAATATTTTACTATAGCGAAGTCCGTTGCTTGCATACGCGCTAGAAACACCGCCGATCTGCATATAGCGCGAACGTTTAATTGTTCCGTGAAAGAATGTCACCACTATGTTCTCCTAGTTAGTAAAAAAAAAAAAAAAAAAAAGAAAGAAAAGTGTACAAGAAAATAGAAAAACCGAGGAGGCGCAACGAGCGAGCGAGCGAGCGGACCAAAAAAGCGACCAAGAGCAATGCTGGGAAAGCGGGAAAGCCGGCGGTCGCGTTGGCAAATACTTTGGCGTCGGGCCAAGTCGGGCGCCTTGTCAATTGCAAGCTCCTGCGCAACTTTCTTGTTTGGTGCGTACATACGTGCGTCCGTGCACGGCGGGCTATCAATGCACGGTTCGGACGCTCTGCAAACATCTGTGTAGGGCGTTCCAGCAAAGCTTTATTTACGCGTTGGCTTTGCCTAAAATATTGCACAACCGCGGTCGCGACGGGCGGGAAGAAGGAGCGGGTTCGCGGTGACCTTACTTCGGCGGAGACCAGACTTTGACCTAACACTCCGCGGTTACATTAGCAAACTCTTATTTTGTTATCTCCATCGTTTTCTTTTCACATGGATACACGACCACTTTGGGGTCGCTCACGGAGGAAATGCGTAAACAAAAAGAAGTGTCTTTCCCTCCTTCGTTTTACTTTGTCACGGACGTCCTCCAACTGTAAGGTCCGCGGCCGCGTCATTCGGGTAGGATGAGTGTTCGCGGATCGCAGAGTCCGCGCTGGGGTTTTTGAAGGGGTGGGCGATGACTCTGTGTTTTTTCGGAAATCGATATTGGCCCAAAAAATGGGGTGGGCGATGGCTCGGGGATGGGCGATGATTCGGGATATTACGGTAGTCATATTTTTTAACATGTACCTCCTTCTACCTACTAGTTCTTTTCACAAAAAAAAAAGAGAGCCCTTGGTCTCTGCTGCAATTATAAAAATGTTGACACTGGTTACATGTGCCCTGTATGCTGTACCATAGAGATATTGTATATGTAACTAGCATTTATAGAGATACACTGTGTACATAGTAATAGTAAGTCTTGATGATCAATTCAGAGATACTTTGAGAATGAAAAATGACAGTGGCTGTCAGGATTCAAATGGGCATTTCCAAGTTACTAGTATCAATTTCAAAAGAAATAGGAATGTGAAATCAAGTATGGCCACAGACAAGCTGTAAAAAATTAGAAAGTTTCTTTAGGCAGACATATGAAGCACTGTATGGTGCACACCAGAAAACATGATAAGAGACTAGAATTAGATTGCCTGCTATACCAATAAAAAGGCTTGTAGAATGCTTTCAGACTCCATACATATGTAGAAAAAATGCAAAAGCATAGAAAGAGAAATGGTAACAATAGCCATAAATGAGAACTTTGTGTATTGCAGAAGTAGAGGGATGTCAGGGACCTCTGACCTCAAAATAAAATATACTATCCTTTGTTTCATCATAACTTGGCAGAGAGGGAGTGCTACAGCCCCTTCGAGCCAATCAAAGCGACGAAAGAGAAGCATGTGACAGCCCTTGCCAAAGGTGCAAAGGCGAAAGCATAACCCAACCAGTTGGAAAAGGGAAGGAGGAACTACACTAATCCCTCGTTATGAAAAAATTTCTTCTTTTGAATTATCACATTTTTCGAAGTTCAATGTTGTAACGACTGCAATGCATGCATTTTGAACCAGATTATACTAAGTGCATTGGCGGCCGACCAAGCTTATTACGAAGGCCGCGGTGCCAAAAGCATGCAAGCCTACACGGAAGTGCACGGAGACGCTTTTGTTCCCTCTCCCTTCGCCTTTGAGGTGAACAGCAAACTAAGAAAATGGGAAACAAGAAATTGGAGCGAACAGGTGACAGAGGGCACAGAGTGCAGAGCGCTGATTCCAATGCCGATGCGCCGACGCAGGAGAGAGCAGCAGGACAGGAGCAGCGTCCACATTCCTACGCAACTCACGGCGCCCGCAGCCGGAGCTGCCAGACTCCGATCGGAATCAGGTCAAGGGAGCGAAAGAGCGCGCCTGCAGTGTACACGCGCTGCGCACGCAGGCGCTCCCGCAGCGTACACTTGCTACACATGAGTCGTACGGGAGACTGAGAGTGTTTACCGAAAGTAGCTTGGATCTGTGAGGTTCAGAAAAGTGGCCGGCCCAAGTCTACAAGTCCGAAATCGCCAAAGAATTCTACATTCAGGCATCAGCTGTTCGACATTGTCCACCATTTTGCAGAACAAGCAAGGCATAATGAACAGGTTCAAGAAGTTTCACGCAAGAGAAAGCATGCCCACAACCCAAAGATGAAAGATCGCCAACTACCTTGCGCACGCGAGGATGATTGCGCATGGATGCTTGCCGAGCCGGCGCACGATTCCCAGAGCTGCAACGACCTCTACAGGATTGCGTGCAAACATATGTTGGCGAAGCTACCGAGGATAACTGATTCGTTCGCGCTTGTCGATGCTGACGTTCCCGTTGCTGCTCCTGCCACGGGTGCTGCGATCGTAGATCTTGCATGCAGCCAGGGTAAACACGGAGCAATGTCGAAGAGGCACCTCGGGAAATGCCGATGACTGTGGAGATGCGAAACATCATATGGCTGTTTCGAAACAAAGAAAAGTGCAACTGTGGTGACGGCGCTCTTACGATGCCAGGAGCAGTTCGAGAAGAACTGATGCCCGGACAAAATTATCAGCAAACTCCACTTAATTATTTTTTTGTTCAATAAAGCTGCCGCGAGTTGTTCCTAATAAAGGTTTGTTTGATTAAATATACGGTCAGAGTGTTCTGCAGTGTTCCCATTCACCTTAAAGGCTGCTGTCGCTGTTTTTTTTACTCTCTCTCTTTTATCGAATTCTCACTCACCTATATCCACTTTTTTTGCCGTCTTGATGACTTCGTTATAACGAGGGATTACCGTACACTCTCACCCGCACCCTCTTTTGTGTGTCCCAGACATGGCTTTTGTCCCCCATGGAGATTAGTCCGTCACTTGAAATATACAAAATGAGCTTTCCTCTCTCTTTTGCCCGTGGCTTTGACAGCACCGTGTACAACTAGTGAGAAAGAGTATAGTCATATGTCTTCCTTCGACACACTGATTGACTTGCTTGAACCGTAGCCTTCGTCGTTTGCCAAGTTACTACGGTTAGATGGAGTATAAAACATCAAACGTGGTCAGCTTTGGGTTTTTAACAAAGGGTTCATCAACAAATGTTAAGCGATGGTGGGTAATGCAAGACAAGATGTAAAAAGGCTTTATATTTGTGCAAAATCACTTATAAAAGTGATTTTGCACAACTATTCCTCAGGCCTGCTTGTGTAGAGTTTAGGAAGCCAAGTGATTTAGGTTGAGGATCTGAAGCAATCTTACACAACCATAGTCAATATGCTTGCATTTTGGAAATTCGTTGCTGTAAGGGCATTTTTCCAACCTGCATCTCACCTTTCTGGGAACCCCATTGATGTTCAGCTTGATGGTGTACTTTCCGCAGGGATTGTACACTGGCAGGCCCTGCCTGTTCTGGGGATAGATGATGCTGCCATCAAAAAGAAAAGGAAAAGCAGTGAAGAGGAAAGAAGGCATCCAGACAAGTAGACACTTAGAGATACTCAAAGAAACTCAAAATTGCGAAACAAATCCAAAATGAGCTTTCAATTTGTGCTTATTTCTGGTATGCCCATTGCAAGCATGCTACAGTTGTGCAAGCTTCTAGCAAGCTGGCTTTCTCTCATAGCATCGTGCAGTACAGCAAGCTTGGGAGGCTTTTTTTTTGTACTACCGTAAAGGGAGGCACTCACTTGATCGAATGACGTTTTAGCGAACGCCCACGTTTCATCGAACGACACTTTAGCGAATAGTCGGACGCCGCGAAGCGGCGTTTTCGGGTGGGCCAAGTGAGTTCATATTTTTGTAATGAGTTGCCGCAGACTGTCGCCGCGAAGCGGCGTAAAGCGCAGCGCGACGGATGGGTTAACGCGCGCCCCCGTTATTCGCTAAAACGACCATTCGCTCAAATGTCGCCGTTCGCTAAAATGTCATTCGCTCTTGTGATATGGACCCCTAATCTTGAAGATCAGCCTCTGCCAAATGGCGTTGCGAGCATTCCAGAATCTTTTGAATTCTCAGTCTTTTGAATTTTCTCAGTCCTTTACTCTCTGCTCAGAGTTCCCCATAATGTAGAGCACAACACAGCATAAACACGCAATCACAATTTTTTTCTTTTTTCATTTCTTGTTGAAATTATGAGTGTGGTGAAACACGTGCACCTATGTTCAGCACCATCTTGCATGGTGAAGCTTAGTACTACACAACGCTAGACCGCGTGAGTGAACTGCGACAAATACCAATGGCATGTTCGAGCTCACTGCACCGAGGAGTGTGAGTACTAAGTGAATGCCCTTTTTTTGCCATTAATAGCTTCTTTCTCTCAAACTTGGTTCAATATTTGTAATGAGAAACATTCAGCCTCACCTGGTGATGATTTTCTTCTTGAACCTTTTCTCGTACAGAGCACTCACTGCCAGGGAAGCCACGAAGGAGCAGTCGGAAACCACCGTCTGCAGGGGAGGATAAAGAATTCCTGCTGTCAACATCAAGAGAAAACAAAAAGATGCCATTTCTGCAAATACATGGCAAATGTGGCCATATGGAAACCCCAAAGCTCGAAATTTTCTGGTCACTAAAAGATGCCTTTGACAGGCACGAAAAGACAGCAGAATATATAAACGATTTACGAGATTGATCCTTCGAGTTCTAGTAGTTACGTCATTGCTACCTTTTGAAGTAATGTAGCCAGCCATTTTGAAGGTGCAAATGCCTCTGTCACACATTTGTAAAAAAGAAAAGAAACAAAAGTCTTGAATCTAGATACAATGAGCCATGACTGAGCGCTCAAGTTCTTGAGAACTGCTCCACCTAGGCAGATATAAATAGGGTGGGCTCTACTCTCGTAGCTTTGAGTTTGATTTAAGAAAACAACTTTAGATCTTGAATTCAGAATACACCGCAAACTTCCAAGTCTATAAAGCCCATCCACATAAAGAGCAACATGTTCATTAGAAAGCAGTCAAGCAATGTCCCATATAACAGCAGCTGACCAACCAGAGAGTTACTGTACAGGTGAGAGACAAAAATCAGGTTGGGATGAGTTAAATTATACTAGGTTAGCTTTAGGTCTATAGTTTGGTTGGACTGTGTCAGGCAAGGTTACCATGAAATACTAAGCACGCACCCATTTCACAATAAGCGCCCACTCCCTACTTTTGAAACCTTTCAAATGCAAGCAAAAGATATTGAGTGCCCACCCCAGCAAACTTCTGAGCCCGCCAAGGCATTCTTCTGCATCAGCTGCTTCTCCAAGAAGCCAATGCAAGGAGTTGAAGCTTTACAAGCGTGAGCTGGTGCGAAGTGGTCAAGCTTGATATGAAAGTGCTAGAGCGAAGCAGGCTTGACGAGAGTGGCATGGCTGCATTAGAGCCATATATGGGGAGAGTTTGGACAGTCTATGATCTCGCCGCCGTAACGCCTCCCTCCCAAGTAAGCCAATCAGCCCACGGCGCAGAGCGAGAGGCATGAGCGCATGCACGTAAGCTCCTGGCTGCTCCCAGCTAAGAGGGGAGGGCCGCCATTTTCATTCATTCGCCCGGCGGAATGCATGGGATCGGCATCTAAATTTCGGTTCTTTCCTTTTATATCGCTGGCTCTGGCAATAAAATGATGTACTGTTACTCTTCGGTGGGTTAAAAAGCTACGAAATGAAGTTTTCTTGACGTATGGCCACAAACTTTTAATCAGGCGAAAGAGAAGTCGGCCTGTAGCAGACGACACGTAGCCTCAACAGGGCTCTGCTCCGACAGCGTTGCGTCGAAATAGCGATTGTCTTTTCTCTGCTCCCTTCTTTCTCTCTCACTCCTTTTGCACTCTCCTCCCTTTCCTTCACTTTTCTCCTCTCAAGAGCCTTCATTGCCACACCCGCTGGCCAGACTCTCCCAATATACGGCTCTGGGCTACACTAGAAGGTTAGGGGCTCTGCTAAACCCCATATACTGCTCCCCTATCATTCCGTAGGGTCAAACAAGGGCCTACCCTAGTTGAAAATTTTCATTAGATTCCAATTGGAATTTCCAATTGGTACCAGCTAGGTTTTGGGACAACCAATTGGTCACTGCAATGGGAACCAATTGGAACCCATTAAGATTCCAACAGGAAATATTTTTCCAATTGGTGGGACCCATTGGCCAGTGTGTTTCCAATTGGAACCCACTAAACCAATTGGTTCCAATTAAAACCAGTTAAAATTCCAATTGGATCTAATGGAAATTTTCAGCTGGGACCCTACCGTGTGGCCCTTCTGCATTTCTGCTCTAGGGCCTAACAAGAGCTTGTCCCCATTTTTTCGTGATTATCTCCAACTCTTGGGTGAGCGCTTGCTCGGTAGTTTACGGTAGATAAAGGCTGGTTCATGCAATAGTACACGACTGTGACTGAGTTTGTTGCAACCTCTCATAATCGCTTAAAACTCCAGTTCCCTGGTGCCATCTATATATAGGGTTCAGTGTTTTTGGATAAATCCGAAAAACTACAAAAAAAAAGAAACCGCCAATAACATGTTTAATGGTTAAAAGCGCTAAAAACGACGGACAAGTAGGAGAGACACACACTGTGGTGTGTGTCTTTCCTACTCGTCCGTCGTTTTTAGCGCTTTTAACCCCTAAACATGTTCAACCAACTAGCCCAAATCCAAACCCTTCCGCCAATAACATTTTGGTCAATTGGAATTTATCCGATAAACTCGGAATTTTGATGTGGCAATGCCCCTGCCCCTGTCCTCCCCTCCCCTCCCTTCCCCTCTCCTCTCCCGTCCCTCCCTCCCTCCCTCCCTCCCTCCCTCCCTCCCTCCCTCCCTCCCTCCCTCCCTCCCTCCCTCCCTCCCTCCCTTCCCCTTCCCTTTTCCCTCCCCCTCCCCCCTCCCCCCCCACCCCCCTCAAAAATAAAGATAGTGTTTTACAATTAAGTTTGATCAGCGCACAAGGTCAATGGTCCTGGGAAAATGCCACCACAGTTATCTTTTAAAACTTGAACCACTGTCAAAAGGGGTCTTACCACTTAGCTCGTTAAGGTACTACATTCAAGACAATATGTCACTGTACTTTAGGAAAGCAATTTTTAATGTGAAAGCATTAACTATCCCATGGAGTGGAGCCGGCGGCGTCTGTAACCGTGAAAAAACGTGAAAGAAATGCTTATTCTTCCATTGGCTGAGCGAAACAGCTCCTAGATAGCCATTGGCGGCCGCTTCACGAAAGCAAGTGCTCGGTCGCCACTGTCGTGTAAGGCATTGTCGGAGGGGGGCGAGGGGGGCTACAGTTGCTTTACGAGACCACGGGCTCGGCAGCCCGCTATGGTTTCCTCAGTCGCTTATACAGTTGAATCTCGTTAATTCGAACTCGAAGGAGACCGAAAATTTGTTTGAATAAAGCAAAGTTTGAATTACCAGGAGTTTTCTCTCATAGAGACGCATAGGATGGGACCTGCATGTAAGTTTGAATAATCCAGAAGTTTGAATGAAGAGGGTTTGAATAAACGAGATTCGACTATAGTTAAACACAAATGTGTAAACCAGCATTAAGAATAGTCAGGGTTAGGTTAGGCTTGATTTCGGTAAGGTTAGGAACTCAAAAGAGACAATTGCTGCGCAAGGAGGAGGAGAGAGAGCATGTGCCGACCTGCCTGATGCTGAAGCAGTCGACCAGCTCAATGACCTTGGGGTCGTAGCAGATGTCTTCCGGTCGTACCCAGTGGCTGAAGGAGTCTCGCTGCTTGGGGGAGAGGGACAGCTTCCCCTCGGGGTCGCAGAACGGGAGCTTGAAGGCAAAGCGGTCCTGGCGATCCGTGGCCAGGAAAGGGACGTATTCCCGCCCATTGATTAGGGACGTCTTCCTAGGGGGTGGGGGTGAGTAAAGAAAGATGCTTCAAGAAAGGCCTGAAGGAGCGGACTACCTTAAGACTGTCGAAAAAGCAATGAACGAAGCAATGAACAAGCCAAAAGACAATTAAAAAAAAAAAAAAATTTTCGAACAAAAAACTTTTTTTTTTTTTAATTGTTAATTTACATTTGGTACATAGTCCACACCTGTAGCATAGTCCGCACCCGGTTCCTTGCCCGCACATAAAAAAATTTCATATGTAGCACACCTTGACAAATACCTACTTTATTAGGGGATTAAGAAGCTTGTATCGTAGATAAATCGCTATAGATTATCTTAATATACTTTTCTTTATAAAATCCATCCTGCCTACAGATCATTATACCTTAGGTGCATGCACAGGCTTGTGTTGGGTGCATATTAATAATGATAAGAAGGGTTAATAAAATCTCACTGATTGGCCAATGAACGGACTGACCAAATTATTTTTTGACTGATTAACTGGCCACAGTAAAACCCTCCATCTTGCCATCTGCCGATATCATGCCAGTAACGTTTTCGAAGTGGTCTCTAAAGAGAAGAAAGTGATCTCTAACAAAAGAAGCACCTCAATGTCGTAGCGAGTGTAATAAATGACTCATTGGCCAATTTAAGTGCTGTTGAGTGAATTGATTAGAGTATTATTTGATTAAGCTACCACAGTGACCCTCTTTGCCATGCTCATTACCAATACCCCACTGGTACTGCTATCAAACAAAAGGTCTTTGACAAAGGAAGAGACAAACAACGAAGCCCCCAATCACTTTGCGAGTATAATATAAAGACTGATTGAATGGGCAGTTCCGTGACTTACCAGTGGACTGATCGACCAAATTATTGATTGATTGACCACAGTGTACCTTTCAACAATGCCCCACCAGTAATGCTCTAAACGAAAAGTTTTAACAAGAGACGGAAGAGACCAACAATGACACCAAGCACCTCAAGCTCCTCGCAAGTGCAATAAATGAAGGCTGATTTTTTTGGCCGAATAAGAGAACTACAAATTGACTGATCGACTGCATTACTAATTGATTGACCACAGTGCCCACCAACAACACAGGAGAGAACTTAACACCTTTGAGTGCCTTTTTTTGGTTTTTCTTTTTCCACATGCCAAATGCGATTTTTTGGTCTCAGTAACCCTATTTGACATCTTGTGTGAAGAGTGTTTAATTATAAAAGACACACTATTTCATGCACAAAAAGTTAATCGATGTTTGCACACCTACAACCTACAATATATTTTCGGTAATGTATTTTTCGAGACACGGTACTAGTGTACTAGAATACTTGGGTAGTGTTGGGACCGGAGGGGCTCGCCTGAAGCGCGTGGTATTGATCGCGACAGGTGTCGACACCGGCGCGTTATCCAGAAGGTGTGCGCATGCGTGGCTGCACGCGCGAAAATATGAATCTTTGGTGCCACTTTGGTGAAGTGCACAGAGGATTTCTGATACAGCTACGACCTGCCAGCGGTCGTACCGCGGCATCAATTACACTGCGGCACGATCGTTAGCAACATGGCGCTTCAATGTATTGGACGGTACAAGCTACATTACCCTTCATTAATTTACATAAAAACAATTGCGACTTTAAAGAAGCGGATTGCAAGTTGTTTCAGCGTAGAATTAGCTGCTACTTTCGGTTTGTCGGATGGTGAGCATTTTAAATGAAATGCCCATTTCCTTGGTCGCAAAGGCCAAACATTAGGTATTTGAAAGGAATATCTAAAACTCGGAAGCAGTTTTTTTTTTTCCATCTTATTTTATAATGAAACGAAACGGCACATACTAAAGTCCAAGATTGTTTTAGTATGTTTTTAATACCCCAGGGTAACTTGTCAATCTTGATTACACACACCACAGCGCACTATAGCAAACAACACTCAAACCTTACATACGAAAAATAAATCAAAATTCAAACATACCGCGCTGAGTGACAACTCTTTTTATATAACTTTGTCTTCTTCAACCTCTAGCATCCACCGAATTTTCCAAATTTGCGCACCGATCTCCTATATGCCTAAAAATTTTTTCTCTTTTTCTGTCAGGTGTAAAGATGGTGTACTAATACAGTTGTTATAGTTTCTGGCGATATGTTCTGCTTCAATAATTTCTCGAGTTAATTGGTTTCTGTTCCTACCTAAAATTGTACAGGATGGCAGGTGAACGTCGCACCCACAATCCCGGCAGTGTATGCCTAGATGTCCTGAGTTGGCTCTGGAGCTGTTGGTGTTGTGTTCCCGGAGCCTATCATTAGGGCATCGTCCGGTCTGACCTATGTACACTTTCCCGCACGAAAGGGGAAATGAGTACACCACTTCATCGGCACACTCAACAAACCTGTTCTGATGATTTTTGGTGCAGCATACTGTTCGGTGGGAATCAGGCAATTTGACTTGCTTACACAAGTTGCCAAGCTTATTGGGAGCAGTGAAGACGACATTGATGTTGAACTTGTTTGCGATTTTCTTGATGCCATGGGAGAACCTGTGAAAGTATGGAAGCACGACAGGTCTCGTAGATCTTTCTCTGGCTCTTGGTGTGACATATGTTCTCGTATTTTTTGTTTTCAAGAAGCATCTTGAAAACAAAAAATACGAGAAAAAAAAATACGAGAACATATGCCACACCAAGAGCAAGAACCAAGAGCCAAGAGCCAGAGAAAGATCTATGAGACCTGTCATGCTTCCATACTTCCACAGGTTCTCCCATGGCATCAAGAAAATCGCCAACAAGTTCAACATCAATGTCGTCTTCACTGCTCCCAATAAGCTTGGCAACTTGTGTAAGCAATTCAACTCGCCTGATTCCCACCGAACAGTATGCTGCACCAAAAACCATCAGAACAGGTTTGTTGAGTGTGCCGATGAAGTGGTGTACTCATTTCCCCTTTCGTGCGGGAAAGTGTACATAGGTCAGACCGGACGATGCCTTAATGATAGGCTCCGGGGACAAAACACCAACAGCTCCAGAGCCAACTCAGGGCATGTAGGCATACACTGCCGGGATTGTGGGTGCGACGTTCACCTGCCATCCTGTACAATTTTAGGTAGGAACAGAAACCAATTAAAGGGCAACTCCACTCAAAAAGTCGACCCTATCGAAATGACTGATACCGCTTTAGGAGGTCAAAGTACGGTCATACCCAAAATATCATGTCAAACCGACGCCGCGTTACCGATTAAAACCAATATTAAAAATGTTCTCCCGGCTCGGTTAGCGGCCCGAAAGCGGGTGAGCAACGCTGGCACCGGGTGAGCTAGTGAAGCAACACTGGGCAATGACGTAGGTCTAGTCCTACGCTCTCGTACGGACGCCGCGAACGCTTAGTTTCCCGTGGCATTCTGCGATTCTGCTGACGGCACGAGGTGTTTACCACATTATCCTGTGTTCTCCTATTTTTATTAGCGTCCAGGCAGTTCCTTTAATTCCAGCATTGCTTCCGCGACAGCGCGGAAGAGAGCGAAGCGGCGCTGCTCGCTCACGCGCGCGTCGTGGAGCCGGACAGATTTGCCGGTCTCGCGTTGGGCAATGTCGATCAGGATTTGTAGTGCTGTGGGTTGTACCAACAACCCGGTGCGCAACTCGGAGCTGCGGTTCCACCAGTTCCCAAGAGACCGGAAGAGGCACAAGGTGTGGGTCGGTGCCGTTCGCCGGATAGACTTAGGAAGACCGTTGACTCTGAGCTCCAACGCGAAGCTCTGCTCCCAGCACTTTACGCCAGACACCTACACACGGGATCTGCGGCTGCTGACTGTTGCGGGTTTCACCACGAAACGCGTCTTTGAAGAACGATGCGGTGCCGTCGCCGTTCGCGTACCGTCCGCCGGCTGCCCCAGCACGATCGGCTGCACGCAGCACGTCGCGGCTGATCTAACTAGCGTGCACATAAAGGCACCTTGGCTTTAACAACTTAGACCACTTGTGGATAGATCTGTCCATCTACCTCCCATTATTTCGTTTTCTCGGTCCGCGCGCAAGAAACAAATACAGTCACGCTGCGCCGGCACCGACCGCATCATATTTATAGCAGTCGGATTCGCTTTTCGGCCGGCAAATTTATAAATACACACTAAAAATTACTACATTTGGTGCATCCCACCAAAGTGAAGCGGTAAAAAAAGAAAATGTGCATCTAACTGTAGGAAGCATTACGCATCAGCCAGCATGGAGATTCGAACGAATGATCTTTTATTCCACGCGCTCCGCGCTCGTGCTCAAAACACGGCACCCCTGGGAGACGTGGCGCCATCTATCGCTAGTTACTACATCTCTTTTCTCTGGAAAAGTCAGCGTAGAGCGTCACCATCAACATGGTTGGGGTATCGTTGTGGTGGCCTTCTTTTCCTTGTTCCTCTTCGCGGCCGCGGTCCCGGGTGAGGCTGACTCTGGTTAAAGTCACTGGGACTCTCTTCCGTGCAGGCTGTGTCTTTCCCCGTGGAGGTCAGCTCTCGTCGAGAATCCGTCGCCGTTCGTAAGTGTTCACGGGTTCTTCGGTGGACCCGACCCCCTGGGGTTAAAATGTCGTAGGACCTCGGCACTGAATGTCCCACGACTATGGCAGGTGACCATGTGCGCCGCAGGGTGTTGTAGACGGTGACTGTAGAACCCGTGTCAATGTCTGGCAGTGTTCTTGAGCTTCTATCGTAGTTCGCCTTTTGTTGCCGCCTTATTTCTGTGAGACGACGTGTGACAGCCTTGGGTGGCACAACAGTCGGCAGGTAATGTTCCGATCGCGCAGGTAACAGTGTTCTTGTGTGTCGGCTCATCAGTCTCTGTACTGGCGATTGGAGGACATCGTCTCGTGGAGTGTTGCGCCACTCAAGGAGGGAGCGGTAAAACTCTTCAGTGTTGGCACTCTTTCGCAAGAGTTGTTTGGCCTGTCTCACGGCTCGTTCAGCCATGCCATTTGATCGAGCGTGGTAAGGGCTTGATGTAACTTGTTCTATCTTCAGGTTTTCCAAGAACT